TTACCCCCATTCACAGTCTGGGGATATTGTTGCTGCATCCTAAACTACTGCATTACTAAGGGGAAAAAAAAAAAAAGCATCACCCAAATAGACATCTAGTCAGAGGAGTTGACAAAACCTTTGGATACAAACCTACCTACTGTGCCAGGCTGTGGGCTTCTACTATTGTGGCATTATGATTCCCACACCTCCTAGGGAGCAGCCACAACCCACTGCCACGGTTCCCAGTCACCAAGGCAGCACCTGGCTGGCCTACAAAAGCGGAGATTATGGAGGTTACGCTTCCAGCTGAGCTGCCTCAGTGAAATTATGCAGCAGACTATGGTAAAAAAGAACGGGAGAGTCATCCTACCTAATACCATTATCACTTCACACTACAATACTACACCCTACTTGGAGCTGCACCTTCTGGGCCTGGTGTCAACTCCACCTATTTAACCAAACTCTGCTAAGAACCGTTACACCAAGAACAGGCATCTGTTGCTAAGAGCTACTATCAGGACTTTAATTATCTTATTTCTTTTTTGTTTAATTTTTAAGGTTGTTGGTTATGCTGTCACTTGCGCGAAGAGAAGCTGTCTTTAAGCCTAAGTCATGTACAGGGAAACTGCGATTGACAGACAATGCATACACAAACTGATTCAAGTTCTTCCAAATAAAAAATGAGGAACATATTTTAATGTTTTTTGTTTGTATTTTATTTACAGTGTAGGTTTCTAAGACATTTAGCACCATTAGCCTACAATTCTTCACTATTTGCAGTTACAAATGTCTAAATTTGCAAATAACAGGGTCAAATATCTGACAGTACAAAGAGTTACCTCAAAAGTCAAAAAGCACAGAGTAAACAAACCCATGCTAAAAGAAAAATGCTGTATGTACTTAATACGTTTAAAAAAAAAAATCACATTTTTGTGAAACTATTATTGAGAAGAACTACATAGCGGTTTACATAATTCAACTGTCTCAGGTCCTTTGCTACAGAGGTATTTTTGTTGCTCAGATAGCATAACAGCTCTGAATCTATCTTTGCTGAGGACCATATGCAAGATTACAGCCCCAAGATAGCAAACTTCTCTTGGCGTGAGCTGAAACTAGTGAAAAGTTTTGTACCTACAGTTCTGTTTCTGTCCAAGATTATAGGACAATGCACACAGTACAAATGCTAGCCAATAAGAGCCAAATACAGATATTTAGACGCATTCTTTAAGCCTTTTTAAAAAACACAAGCTTCATCTACAACTTCAAAATTGTGTTTTTTTAACAAACCTTTTGTCTATTGGCCGCTACTATACAGTGGAATTATTCCCAAAGCTCAGTCTTAGTCTACATTTGTGGCTTTACAGGACTTTGTCAGGGTAAGCTAGCCTATTTTTAGCCGAAGAAGCGAGACGCCATCAGCAATTGCACCATAACCGATTTTTTTGCTGGAGAAAAATGAGGAACAGTCATAGCAGACATTGATCTTGACTCCAGAAAAAAGCAAGACAAAAGAAGCTAAAAAGCCATAGGAGACAGAAGCTACCACAAGACCAGGACAATCAGGAAACCAAAGTAGAGTAGGCTTGAATTTAAAATAAACAGGCCATCACACTCAGCCCCCCTGGCTAAAACCGTAAGCGCTCTCTCTCTCCCAGCTAAATTAACACGGCTCAACTCGTTTCCCCAGTCGGGATCAAAAAAAAAAGATGGGCAGGACACACTCTGTGATCTGGTAGACAAGATGGTAGAAGAGAATGCTACCTACAGAACACATTCAAAAACAAGAGCTAGAATAACCAGGTTAAACAAGATAACAAATAAAATTTCAACACAGGAGTGAGATCCAGTTAGAAGGATAACATTAACAATTTGGGATTTTCTCTATAGGAACAGAAGGCAAGGAAGATAAAGAGGTTTTAATGAAAAAGCGCTATGACTAGAGAGCTGAGCTGTCCAGGGCCAGTACTAAGTTAGTTACTAGCGTAAAGACAAATGGTTTCACAGAAATATTTTAATCACAATCTTTTTTGCTGAAGCGAGAGTCTTCTGCCAACAAAATCTTCATTAGGAAAATGCTACTTATACCGATCACAACAAGCTTAGCAGCTGACTCTACAAACCCTTTATATTCTGAGGAATTTTATACGATTCAATACGATCTGTGTGTCAGTAAAGAACTGTCTCTCTGAGTTTCTTGAAAACCAGAAAATTATCCCAGTTTTCAAGACAGGATTATTATTTTCTAGCATCCTTAGAAAAGTGGCAACACTAATGTTTCTTGGTAGACTTCAGTTTCAATTATACAAACCCACACTTTGTAAATGAGACCTCAAAGCCAGCGACTAGTGTAAAAGTCTTCTAATATTAATGAGTTTTCAAGCCCTCTATGAGGTTAAAACAAACATTAGGACCACAGACTTCTCTGAGGAAACATACCCAGCATATCCAGAGACTCATCAGACTGTGCAGTTTTGCCTTTGATGCGTTTCTTTCCCATATTTGTAGTCTGTAATTTTTCTTACATGGAACAGTGACCTAGCAAAGAAAAAGAGTAAATTAGAAACTAGGTTTTGGGTTTACTTGTTCATTGCTAAACAATAAATTATTTCTATGGCCAAGATGTCCCTTGAGGTGAATTAACTTGTTTAAATTTGACATTTTCAAAAGAAAATTAATTAATTATACTTCAACATGAAACAATTGTAACTATTGTAGAGGCAAGATCACAGCATGAATTATAAAAATCAAATGATTTAAAACCTTAAATCAAAAGCATTGCACAAAAGAACAAGATGGAAAACTTAAGTATGAAAAATCCTATAAGCCTTTGTACTTACAAGTCTTTGTATAAGACTTGTACTTCAACTAATAACACAAGGATTTTAGGAAAAAGAATTGGGTTTGTCCCAATTAAATCTTCCAAGTTTTTTTGCAGTTACAGTCTCAGTTTTCTTTACTGCAAATTTCTTGTATCCTTGATGAAGTCTGACACAGGCAAACACTCTAACATATTTGAAAATATACAGACAATGGGAGTTCCGATTTTTCAACTTCTTCACTGGGGGAGATTTATCATTGCCTTCCCAACATACCAAGCAAATAAATCCGATGGGGTCTGTTATTTGGTATGCCTGTAGACCCTCCTAGACAAGAGTGATCTGCCACTACAGAGTCCTAAGCCAAATGCTTGCCTTCAAGAAGTCGGCTACTGCACATACGGTAGGACATTTTTAACTTCTAGTCTGTAGCCCCTGTAAGGCCCTGTGCCTTATCTCACAAAAGATCATTCAAAAAGATCAGGTAAACTTAAAAAACGACATACGCTATACAACGAAAACATGCAAGCTGAAAGGGTTCAAAATCAAGTCTCTGCAGTCTTACGCAGTCTTTGCAGGTTGGCCTAACCCTGCTGTCCACCCTTCACGTAAGCACGTCAGCACCGCGCTAAATCTGACTTGTAACACCCATCCTTTCAAAACCATTTCTTAGCTCGTACTCAGCAGCGCACCAGCCACAGAGAACGGCTGCCCGCTTCCCCCCCCCCCAGCCGAAAAATGAAGCCAGCCCAAGAGAAACTCTGGAGAGAAACTAAGCTGGGAAGAGTTTAGGCATGATACCTACCGAGGACTTTTTGTATGAAAAACCTTTTCAAGGCATGCTTTTATGACAGATTACCCAGTTGTTAAATGACAGGTAGGCAGCCACTTAATCAAGAGTAGAATTATCAACGTTCGCAACTTAGCATTCAATTTGTTCATCCAACAAACTCCCTCTACAGCACATTTTTTGGCAAAAAGCCACAACATTTGATCTTATACGAACAACTCTAAACCGTCAAAATCCTTTCCAAATTGACTTCGCTCCCGCCAGGACGGCAGGACAGCATGAACACGCGTAGCTGTTCATTCCACCCACGCTGTCTCTGGACAGACTTGTCCGACAGGCTCTTCACCAGCCTCTTCCACGGAGCGGCCCACACGAGGAAAAGCGCTGCAGAGCCCGATAGCTAGAGCAATAAAGTGATGGTTTGTTTTATTACTACTTTTTTTTTTCCCTTAAATAAGAAAGAGCGGCCTGCAAACGACCAAAAGTGCACCTGCGTCGGACGGAGACCCGGGAAAAACGCCCACAGAGGCACGCCTGGGAAACCCCCGGGGCGCGGCGGGCGCCTGCCCCAGGCAGCAGGCCGGGCCCCAGAGGCTCCCCCAGACACCTGCCGCCAGCCGGGAGCCGACGCCCCCCCCCC